ATGTTCAGTGCAAAAGAGACAACAAAACACTCAGAACACTAAAACCAAACTAATTACAGAATATGAAAATTGTGAAGCCTTAAGTTATTGGTAAATATGATGTGCTCAGGGAGATTAGAGACATGAATAGCAAATACTTAAGCAAGAGTCTGGTGAATGAATAACAAACCAAAAAATCAACAATGTCCCATATTTATATTACACACATACTGAAGCAAGCATCTTTTGCTATTAGCAATGTTCTCTTTATAATACACACATACTGAAGAAAGTATCTTTTTGCTATTAGCAATGTTCTGGAAACATGTATGACCGGCAGCAAGATAAAGTTTATGATCTCCTTTATCTTTCGAGTCATTTTTTTTTCCTTCCCCATGATTCCTATACTTCGATGATGATTTGAATAAGAAACAACAACTGCTAGCTTGTTAAAGTTAAAACACCAGACTGGACAGGATAGTTTGGATCATTAAACAAGTTCACAGACCTTACCCCATGATGGCTTCATCCAATTATCAATCTCCAACTTCCCCAAGAAAAAAAGGGAGAAATTTAGAGTAGCGAAGAAATGTTAATTACTTAACTTGATACCCAAAAGAAGAATTCATCCATCACAAGGATGTTAATAAGGTGATTTGCTTGCATGGATACAAAGGTAGAATTTGAAATATTGGATATGGCAAGATACAAAAACAAGAATCCATCCATTTAACTGAAGAAAATAGCCCAAATATTCTGACATCCAACTTAATATAAAAGAGCAGTGATCAACAACAAAAACCCAAAAACATAGCTCCCAAATACCTAAACCTAATATGACATGAGACATGAACATAAAGACACAACTTTTATTGCCCTTGGACTTAATTATGCAGTAGGATAAGCTCCACCAGGGGTTTGGACCATGACGCAACAGATCGGACTGTTCTTCTTGTATATCCTAAATAAAGTGGGCCTGGGTAATACTGTCCAATGTTGCTGAGATAAAAGCATTGTCATTAGAACGTTTGTTCCAGCACCATCCTCAGCAAGTCCTCCTCAAAATTCAGCTGTTCCACTGCAAATTCCATTTGTGCTGTCTCTTCTCTTAGGCGGCCCAGCTCCTCCCTCTTGGCTGCAGTTTCTCGTTTCATCTTCTTGAGAGCCTTGTTTGAACAAATTAAAGCCATGAAACCAATATCAGTAAACTCGTGGCGACATTAACTGAAATTGATAGGCATTCAATTGTTGGAAAAATAAATGTGAAGCTATACTCTGCGCATGCGCCTATGCGTTCCATTACGGTTCTTCCTTGGTCCAGCCATTTCAACTTCTCCTCTGTAGTATCTAAACGGAGAACATCAATATTCATTTATAAAGCGGAGGGATTGGAATCGAATTTAAGAATTAAAGTCGACGTTTACATACCTGATACTGAATTTGGCACCTCTGCTTCAATTTCTCAACAACTCAATGCCTGGGACATATACAGCTCTCTGAAAATATATATGGTGGGCTTTGTGGATGATAACTCCATGCTTGGTCTCTAACAATACCTTTTTGTCACACAATCGAACGATTCCGTTCGTTAGAATCGAACGATATCTCTCCGGGGGTCGACCGGGGGTCGACCGATTTCGGGCGGTACTTCTCTGGTTTTCCTAACTTCTTGTCTGATTGCAGATTATCAGTAGAGTCGATTTCTTCTCCGGCTTCCGTTTCTTTCCTCTCTTTTTCTAGATACCTTTTACTCTTTTGACTTTAAAACCCATCCCACCCCAACACCAACTCCCCACCCCTTACTCAGATGCCTTCTAACTTGTTGTCTTTGAAACCTTTAGTCCCTCAACATATAATATAGGTAGATAAACCCCTAATAAAATAGGAATTTGTAAATTTAAATTGTATCAAATTGTAAAACATGAATAAATAAATTGAAAGGAAAGCCCCGAATATTAGAGGGTCTAACCTTCATCCAATAATTAGTGTTATGTAATTCAATATAATTCAGACTACATAATATTTTAAAGAAAAATAAAATTATATCATTTCAATAAACTTTCATTAAAAACTACTAAATTAACCTATTTGTGAAGCATTTAAGAGATTATAATCTTTTTCTATACTGCTTTAATGAAATGACAGTTTTGAAATGTTTTTCCTTTTAATTTTTTGGAGATTCAGCTCATATAAAATTAAAATTAACATGTTTTATAAATTAATTACAAAAAATATTTTTTAAGTTAACTTGTATGAAAAAAGTATAACAATACATGTGAAATTATTTTTTTTTAAAAGGTACATATCAATTTTAATTATCAAGAAAACTCAGAAATTCAAGTTCAGTTCACTTTTGTTGTAAGAAGCAAATTCAACAAAATGCATAAAAAAGAAAAAAATAAGGTTAAAATGTCAATTTTGGTCCCTTAACTTTAGAGTTTTGCATAATTTTTATTCCCCTATTTTTTATGCACTTTGCTGGTCCTTTGACTAGAAAAATGCATTTTTTTAATTATTTTATCTGTTAGTCTATTAAGTTTATCTACATATATACATTTTTAATCTATAGACTTAAAATTAAAAGATAAAAAATGTGCATATATTAAAAGTTGAAGGAATAAAAATATGCAAATTTATATTGATTTAACGAATTAATTGACAGAAGAAATAAAAATACATATTTCATAGTTAAGAGACCAAAAAATATTAAAAAAAATTAAAAGATGAAAATTGTATAAAATTTTAAAGTTAAAGGACCAAAATTGGCCTTTAACCACCATCCCAGCATATGGGCTGTAACAATTGACCATTTCCAGAACCAAACAAAGCCAATTAATTCGTACACCTCTCCCACCTCCCACTACGCTCATACATAAAAAACAACTCCCCAATTCCCAACTCACCCCTTTCAAAATACTATATACTTATATATATCTATAGGTATATCTCGACTCAACATGTTACAGCCCTATTATTTTGATCGTGTTTAATTATATGTAATGAGAATAGCTAGCTCTATTATTGTGGCAGTGGACATGCAGTGGAAATATATATACGGTGCATAGCCCCTCAACATATAATATGGGTAAATAAGCCCTTAATAAAATATGAACTTGTAAATCTAAATTGTATTGAACTGTAAAGTATGAATTATTAAATTGAGGAGAAAACCCCAAATATTAAAGGGTCTAAACCTATATCCAACAATTAATGTTATGAATTTCAAGATAATTCAAACTACACAATACTTTTTTAATAAAATTATATCATTTTAATAAATTTTTATTAAAAACTAATTAATTAACCTATTTTTGAAGCAATTAAGAGATTGTAATCTTTTTTCACACTGCTTTAATGAAAGTTTTGAAATATTTTTCGAGATTCAGCTCATATAGAACTAAAATTAACATGTTTTATAAATTAATTACAAAAAAAATATTTTTTAAGTTAACTTGTATGAAAAAAGTATAACAATACATATGAAATTATTTAAAAAAACAGAATATCAATTTTAATTCTCAAGAAAACTAAGAAATTCAAGTTCAGATCACTTTTGTAATAAGAAGCATATTCAACAAAATGCAAAAGAAGAAAAAAACAAGTTAAATCCTCATTTTGGTCTTTTTGTTTTGGTAAAAAATCTTTTTTAGTCCTTCAACTTAAAAAAATTCATTTTTGGTTCCTAAAGTTTGAAATTCGACCCTTTTTAATCATTCCGTTAAGTTTTGCATGTGTCATATTAAATGACAGAAATTTCAAAGTTGAGGGAGCAAAAAAGGGGGCCAAAATGGCTAAAAATAGCCCAAATTTGGTTCTCTACTTTGAAAAGAAGCCCATTTTTAGTCCTTATCCTTTGAAAGTTTCATTATTTAACATCAAAATTTAATAGAAAAACTAAAAAATGACTGGATTTCAAACTTTTAAGGACCAAAAAATGGCTTTAAAAGTAGAAGGACTAAAATGCATCTTTTTACCAAAGTAGAGGGATCAAATTGAGGTTTTAATTAAAAATAAGGTTAAATGCCAATTTGATCCCTTAACTTTAGGATTTTGCATAATATTCATCTCTCAACTTTTTTATGCATTTTTTTTATCCCTTGACTATGAAAAGTACACTTTTTTAATCTTTTCGTCAGTTAGTCTGTTAAGTTTATCTAAATATGCATATTTTTAGTTCTTCAATTTTAAATTGAGGGACGAAAAATATTTATATATTAGAAGTTGAGGGACTAAATATGTGAAAATTTAGATACACTTAACGAATTAATTGACAAAATGATTAAAAATGTACATTTTTCATAGTTAAGGAACCAAAAAGTGTATAAAAAAATTGAGGAATAAAAATTATGTAAAACTTTAAAATTGATGGACCAAAATTGACATTTAACTCAAAAATGACAAGCCGATCCACTAGAGTTTCTAACTCAACTAGTAAGGGAGTGATATGAATCATATTGATGATTTATCCAATACGCGTAGGCTTACAGATACTTATAGCAAGATTATTATTATTATTATTATTATTTTTGGTAAATTACAGCTAGATTAACTGAGTTAAAGATTTAAATGGTCAAGTTATACGGAAAAAAAGGGGAGGACTAAGGAATGATAGAAACGTGCCACTGTCTTTCAGTCACAAAATAACAGTTCTTGAAGCCAAACTTTACAAAACCCGCACCATCATGACAAAATTTGGTGCATAATTTAAGAAGGGACTTGATCACCAACAACCCTGTTTCCCTTGAGAGTCAGGCCTCGAGCTGGACCTGCAGATTCAAAGGCAAACTATACAAATACAATATTGCAATAACATTATGAGTCATGATATAACGATCATGTGGAGGCTCTCACATTTTTCTCTGAATCTCGTCAAAAATTGGATTTTCTACTATTTCTTTGGCTGAAGGACGTCGAGCTGGATCCCGTTCAACCATTACCTAATAGAATTGTCATACATATGTAACATATCAGATAAAACTAACCATGCTAGGGCGCTCTTTCCATGTAATTCCAGTTAGGTAAGGCACTCCAGGTTAAATTATTTTCTAGCTCTTGCTTCCCTTTTAAAAAGAAATGAATATTCTTTTACTGGAAATCTCGACAAAAGAATCTTATTAGTCTAAATTTTTACCAGAAGATTGTTGATTTAGGACACTCTTATTCATCTAAATGAGACAGAGTTTCCAAGATTTGCTTTTCAGAAAACTAGCAAAGAATGAACAGGTTTACTTAATTTTAGGAAAGGCTTCAGCACTGAAGAAAGAACAGGACAGAGAATACCTTGAGTAAGTTTTGAAACTGCAATGAATGGCCAGGTAGGAGTGGCAACTTTCCATCCCTAAGAAACTAGGCCCCTGATTCTGAAAAAGGTGACTGTCTGATAAGCTCATATATTGCAGCTCCCAAAGAGAAGATACCAATCTTGTCAAGATGATCATAATTTTCATTTAGGATTTCCTGAGGCATATGACGAGCATCACCCTCCTCAATTGGCAAGCTCTTATTCAGAAGAGTTTGCACATCCAAATTCGAAAATCGCCTAGCTTATAAACACTATTCTTGACATAACATTTTCAGGTTTTACATCTAGGTAAGCCATTCCTCTTACATGTATAAACTGCAATGCTTTGGCAATCTGCATTAATTTTGACATTAGAAAGGGCATCAACTACAGGAGATGACAACCTGATAGAATTGAAAATGTGTTTCTAATTCAGAATAGATTTACCAAAAATAACTAAGCTAATAGAGATCACTACCAATGGCAAATAAACATTAAACATATCACAGAAAAATCCAATTTTTGATGACATGTGAGACAACATTTCCATAGTTTACTTGCGTGAAACATCTAAATCCCAGTGTTCCCAAAAGCATCTGAATCCCCCCTTAATTTCTGAACAAAGGTGACTCTTTTTTTTTGAGAGATCACTAAAGGTGATTTTTGAGTTTTGAGAACTGAAACCTCTTTCATGTTATTTAATAGGTCAACCTATGACATGCATATGCCATCTGTGCAACTGTAGGTAGCCAACTACCAAGTTTCTAACATAAGGTCTATTAAAAGGATGCTGCAGACATATCTTACCTCTTTTCTATAAAAACACAGCAAAAGGACAATCAACCTGAAACAGGACTTTCAGCAACTTGCCCTCTGTGAATAATTGGGAAGCTTTATTTCTGGAGAAGCTGTAATCACATAGTTCCATCTGGATGTACAGTTGCTCATTTTCCTACAATGTCTTCCTGAGACCCTGCAACAGCAGTTTGTTAATTCTTAACACCATTTAGGAAAGATTGTTCCAATGTCAACAATCAAACACAATTTTTCTAGCTTTTAAATAAATACAAAAATTAAAAAGCATAGAAACAGAAAAGTATTTACAGATAACCTAAAGCTGCCAAGGCTTGAACTTCCATTAAGACTTTCCTCCTGCAAAGTTGAAAAATTGTCACATAAGGGAGTAGGTAAAGGAAGGTAGTATGCTGAAAATAAATGACTATGCACTATGCTACCTCTCTGTGTCTTGGTGCAACTGCCTTGTGCTATGTTTCACAGCATACATGTAACCATCTATTCTCTTTAAAACTTTAAAAACTCAGACTGAAGTTCCCCATACCAATTAGCTGGAAAGGCAAGGATAGGGAAACATGAAGCCTCAATTTCTAACATATGTATGAAACCAATGGTCCAAAAGAGGCTAGAGTTTCTTGGAATATAAATAGATACCTCGATCTCATGAAAATCTGTATGATAGCGTGAAAGACCATCTCCACCGATACTTAAGCGGAAGAAACCTATACAGTGGGAAAATGTAATTAAAATTTTGTATGCTCTTTAGGACATAAAAGCATGATTTCATTCCCTTTCAAGGGAAAGCAGACAGTGGAACTAAAATTACAAAGATAGCTGAAAAAATTCCTAATGAATCTTGAATTCTGCCTGCACATTTTGATCTTTGATTTCCAGAGGGATGTATCTCTGTTTTGGAAGCATCCTCTAGATATGGATTCTTAATGAGGGAGGTGGCACTACTTGACAATGTAAAGCAACTGCAGATTGTGAAACAAAACCTTTACTCTTCTGTGCTCCAGTTG